TGTTGGCCACCATGAGTTGTGCACCACATTGAATGTTGCCCTTGAGAATATACATGTTCCAAAACATGTTGGGAAGGATGCAGTTACTTTTATTGAATGGCACTGGGTTACAGATATTGTTGGGGATGTGGTATTTATCAAAACTTCATCATGAATCATTCTCTGAGACTTGACTATTTTATGTGAGTGTGTACCTCTTGTAGACACTCACTTTGTTTCTGCATTTGCTATGCTAAGAAGATTTATGGTGAGATAAGATAGATTACACATTTTTTTACATTGTCAATATATTAGACGCTTAGATTTTGTGACAAGGCCAAGCCATCTCTTCATCCGGTTTATGAAATGTGGAAGGAAATATTGAAAAGGTGAAGGCAGTTATATATAGGCATGAAGGGAAGCTAGAAAATGAGAAAACCCACCTCTTCATTGTCTTGCAAATGTAATACAAGGTAACAACTCTTTTTTAGACTCTTTAAGGAATTGTTTTCCATTGAGTTCTATCTTTTAGTATAAATAATGTAATGTTGATTTGATATTCTCTACTTTTAGAATCTAGGTATTATAATTTATAATACAAACTAACTAGATGAAAATCCCAGTCACCTTCCTTCTCAAAATGATGAAGAAATTTCAAGTAGGGTTGAATCTAAAAGAGAGTGATTGCTAATTGTAAACCCCACATGTAAAGACGTAATTATTTTGTACTGCTTATATCTATTTAATGACGTAAAAATAAATCATATAGGCTATAAACGTAGAGATACATAATTGGAAGATAAATTGAACATTCTCAGTAGAAGGTAGGAAGAGATTTCCTTGATAATGTTTGGGGAATTCAATTACAATTTAATGTTCTAACAATGGACGGAAGTGAGACTTGGATAGTAGAAACTAGATTCTAAATGCAACATAAATGTATTTCACAAAGGTTTCGTGAATCGACTTAAAGGCAAAACTATGTTGAAAGTTGATACAGAAAACTAGACTCATGTTCGAACGAAATCACGTTCGAACACAAGTTAGTCCTAGTACTTTGCTGCTAGAGAGTTTGACAAAACAAGAGATACAGAAAGCATCAAACGGAGCTTGGTTACAGTACTTTCCTATCTGACTGAAAGTCAGATAGAAATCGAGATCCTAGGAGCTCGAGACATTCGAACGCTAAGTCACGTTCAACGTTACGTTTAAATGTCCAAATTACGTTCGAACGCTAGTATAATTTTAGCAACGATCGGACTTGCGATTCTTGTATAGATGTTGACCCTATAAATACCTAAAGACGCCTCATCTAATCATATTTCTATAATTTTCAACCCACGGCACCTCTAGATAGTGAAAAGAAAGGAGAAAACATAAGAGTGGGAGAGAGGATTAAATACGCTCATAGGTGTTAAATCGCGTATCGGAAGACGTATCGTTTTTCAAAAATAGTGTATCATATCATATCGTATATCGTAAAATACACGCAATTTTAATTTTTAAATAACTATTAATAAAATATATATATATATACATTCCTTTGTAAAAAATTCATAGACTCATTATAACATAGTATTTCATTAATAATATTTCACCAACTATTCAAGTTTCCAATATAGTTTAGTAATATCAAAATGCAAAGACCTCTAATTCAAACTTTTAACATCAACTACTTAAACAACTTTAATATTAATCAAAAAGTTTGAATTTATTTAAAAACATTATAAGCATACTTTATTTTTATTTTTTAAACCATAACTACTAAAACGACGTTTCACTAGCTAGCGATTTAAAAATAAGTCTTAAAGTAAAACAATGTCATTTCAGCCCAAAAAATAAAAAAAAAAACAATATCATCACGTATCAGACGTATCTTATCGTACCGTACGTATTGTATTGTGTATCGTACAATACAGTGCAAAAACGATACAGAGACACGATACATATCATTTTTCAGGTGTATCATACGATACTAATAACTATGAATACGTTAGGGTTTAAATCGAAAGTTGGATTAAAGGTTGGAGATTCTTTTTGCGTTCTTTCATTGAGATTTAAGGTATATATATATATATATATATATATATATATATATATATATATATATATATATATATATATATATATATATATATGTTTTAAATCTTCTTGATAGTTATATGATAAACAATTATAAGCTCTTGGTTTCTTTCCAATTGAAATGTAATTTTGAACAAAATACATGTTTGGATTCAAGGAATTCTTATCATTGGTTTCCAAAACCCTAATTTTGCTAAATATATGTTTTAATGCGAAAAATATATGGATTCTTGGTTTCTAAATTTCTATTCTTAATTAAATTATTTTCAATCAAATACTGATTCTTGTTCCAAGAGGTGAAGAGTTTTGGCAAAACTCTAGATTTGTGAAATTAAAATTGTAAAGACCTTCTTGATGTGATCTCTTGAATATTCTAATTCTATTATTATTATGGTTAATTGCACTAGAGGTCCCCAAAATATTAAATTTATCTCATTTTGATCCCTAATATTTTCATTGCATCATTTTGGTCCTTGAAGTATTGAATATGTTTCTATATGATCTCTCAAGCAAACAACGTCCAAATTATTAAAAAATTTTATCATAAACTTGTCACATAATACCTAAATATTGACAAAAAATAATTTTGATAACTTTTAAACAAAATTTGGATAGCTTTTGACAAAAAATTGTGTAAGATGGGTAACTTTTGAACAAAATTTGGATAGTTTATGATCAAAACTGTGTAATTTAGGTAGTTATTTAATCAAAATTTGAATAAAAATTTAGTCAAGAGTTATCCAAATTATTTTTTGGTTCATATTTAAGTATCACGTGACAAATTTATGATAAAAAAATTGTTAGTAATCTAGACGTTGTTTGCTTGAGGGGCCATATAAAAATATATTCAATATTTTAATGACCAAAATGACGCAATTAAAATATTAAGGGCCAAAATAAGACAAACACCATACTTTAGGGACCTCTAATTCAATTAACCTTTATTATTATTGTATATTGAAAATTGTAATACATGAATTTGTGAAACTTGTAGTTGGTCGAATATGTATTTGGTAAAATTGTGATTCTTATATCTTGTATGGTTTGGGTGTGGCGGACTTAAATTGCCTTCGAGAATTGCCGTAGAATATTAAAAGTTAGTCTATTCTAATGTGAGTGAAATGATTGCCTAACACTTATAATAAGTTATTTTCTTGAGAGGTCAATCATTATTGTTCATGTAGGTTCAAGGTTGAGGGATGATATACCTTTATTAAGGAGGTTTCGTCAATGCCATATGAGACGGTATACGTCTTTTCTAAACTGGTTTGTGATGTGACCCTGCAGGGAATGATTAAGATGGTTGGGTTTGTGTCGGATGAACGAGATAGGATCATTGTGTAGATTCTTGAAATGCAACCAATATGCATGATATATATGATAAAATTGGAATGTTATTGAATTCATTGATTCTCTAATCTTTAAATGTTTATTCATGTCATTGATTTACTACATTACGTACACTTGAGAACATTACAATTGTCATTGTTTACCTTTCAAAAAGATTTAAATGCTATATTCCAAAAGAGACTTACCTTCTTTAAACTGTTTTAAACATTGTCTGGATTTGAGAGGGATTCTGTACAGGCGTTTGCTCACCCCTACACGTTGCACATTTATAGATTTCGGCATGGAGGAGAATGTCGAGATAGATGAACAGCTTGACTATGAACCAGTGGAAAATCAAGATATGGATCTCGTCTTAGACGAGTAGAATTGTTTTATTAATGGTTTAGAATTTGAGGAATTATTATGAAACAATGTTTTCATTAAATTTAATTATTTCACTGCTAGTGATAGTTAATTGTAAGTTTGGAGAAATTACAATATTTTATTATCTTAGTACCTAGTATTTATTTGATGTATGGATAGTTTATGTTTGAAATGATTATTTTTAGCTGCTCTCATGATTGAATGATTTGTAGATAGGAATGTCTTCCACGGTGAATTTTGGGTCATTACACTAATTCTCAATAAGCTAAGTTATTTTGCTGTTTGGATCACTTCAAAGACCATGACTCAAGAGTTTCTTTGGTCACTTGAACATGGGTCTCCTGCAACCATGGTTTGATCTTTAGCACGGGAATTACTAGGCCAACCTTGTTCTCATCATGTTGTGAAAGGTATTGGAGCACCTACTCTGCCATTCAATCCCATGAAAAGGAATAAAATGACAACACAACGTGCAGAAGATTTGTTTTTTTATGGACAACACTCTACATCTCATATCGAGGAGTCGTCAAAATTACATTGAAGGAGATACCAGGCTATGGGACATTGGTGGAAATGTATTTGAATCATTGAAGGATGATGGCTTACTTCAAATGCAAGTCTTGCACTTGATGAGCCAGATCACATATCAGAGTTGTGATGTTCACAAATGAAAGGGATGGAATAACAAAATGTCTGGATAAGATTAGAGAATTTTTTTTTTGATAAAGACTTATAGGATGATGAACTTATGAGAGGGCTCTTTTCCTTTTGTTTTTGCATGGAAATGATGTCTTTTTTTGGTTGAAAACATGATGGAAACTACATGAGTATCATGTAGGAATAATTAGTTATTATTAATTATTTCCAATAGAATTGATGTCACTTCATAATTATTACAAAAAAATACAATAATAGAAAATTTTATATCATAGACATATCCAGACCGTAATGATTGTACACTGCTTTTAGGTTTATAATATCCACGTATCCATAGCTTACCATATATACAAATCATGGATACGTGCTTGCGCTTCAAAGAAAATAGATAAGCCATATGGTATTTGATAAAGTTCCAAACAAGTAAATCATATTGAATAAACAAAGAAATGCGAAAGGAATCTATCAATCTTTTAACAAAACAGGGTGTGTTCGGAACAACAAGGACAGAGTAGGCATATAAAACAACATGTTGATGAAAGAATATAACTCTGCACATATCAAGGGTCTTACCTCAAAAAGGAAAGCAGCAAACCAACACAAGTGCTCAGCAACCAGGCAATAAATCCATACTGAAGAAAAATGGGAAGTTAACACAAATATCAAGGAATAACACCTTCATCAATCCAATAGATGTCCCAACAACTGAAATACATACAACTGATACAAACATGAAAGTATAAATTGTTAGAGAGTTTAGCTTATTACTAATATTAGTATTAGAGGTAGTTTCATCATTCTCTTTAGTTTATGTTGCCCGACTATATAAAGGAGTTTCCATTGTGCATCTTACTTTTATTATGTTTTGACAAATTAGTGTAGCCATAATATATTTTCTCTTATTCTCTCTTCTTTGTTTTGATCAATATTATCATGATATCAGAGCATGCCCTACTATATAAAGGGGCTTCCATTGTGTATCTTATTTTTATTATGTTCTGACAAATTATTGTAGCCCTAATATATTTTCTCTTTTTCTCTCTTCTATCTTCTTTGTTTTGATCAATATTATCACAAACGTAGACCTAAAAAAACTAATGCACACTCCGCAATGCATGGCTTTTGAAGATGTCGTAAGAATTAGGTCAATCCAAATAGTCAAAAGAAGTAGATGGGGGCAAAAGACAAAAGAGCTAGTAACAAATTCAGGACCAAGATTTGTGTGTCACAACATAGTCCCAACAAAATTTAGTACTGCAACAAAATACATACGTCAACATTTTTCAAGGAAAATCCTGATAATGATTTGTGATAATATCCTTTGATTGTGACCGGGTAACATTTCCATGGATAAGACAATATACCTTAGTAATTGATGTTTTTTCGTACGTGACTGATAAAAAAGTTATGGGTCTATTTGAAACTGGCTTTTTTAGATGAAAAGCTACGGTTGAAAAGTTTTGTAAAAAAATCAAAGTTAAAAAAAACCTCCAAAACTGTTTTCTGAAAAAGTCTATTTAGAGCAACTTTCTAGCTTTTTTGGCTTTTATGTCAAAATAAAAAAAATAAGTACATGTATGTATAGATTATGCATAATAGTTTCTAAAATATGAATTTCAAATTTGTTTACATCACTAATAATATTTTATGAATATAACAAATTTAAAAAGTTATGTAGGACCCACGACAAAACTCCAAAAAAAATGCTCATAAAATCAGCTTTTTGAATCAACCAAAATAAGCCTTTTGGGGTCCAAAAAAAGCTGATATATAAGTTTGTAAAAAAGCTAAGGTCCAAACGGACCTGCTTTATTTTACTCCAAAGCCCCATAAAAGCTACCTATTTAAGCTAGCTCCAAACAGGCCCAATTATCCACTTCCTACAAGCTTGACCATTCAATACTCAAATTTCTCACTAGCTATCTATGAATGGGAGAATCAACCTAGGATGGTACAACTTAAGCAACTAATGGAAAAATTAAGAACAAACTGCAGACACGAGGTTCATACATTACGACAAAGACAGGTATTTTGGTTTTTGTGAAAAGTATGAAAGCTAGTGATACAACCTTCAATCAAAGTGGAAAAAGATCCTGCAACCAATAAGAACGAAAAATCCTCAAAATGGGGATAGCTTTCCAGCTGCATCTGTGTGGGCCTCCTATGCTCTATCCAATGTGGCGTTCTATTTAAGGGAGTATCACTAGAGGTGACCAAAGATCAAAATATCGTTTCGAAATGGTCGAAACATCCGAAATGTTTCCGTTTCCAAGGAAACCGAAACGAATTAGTGCTGGAATCGAAATTCTAATATTTCGAGGTATTCCATAATATTTCAAAATGTTATGTTATATTTCAATGCATTTGCACAATTATTTTGAATATTTCTAGATATTTTAAGATATTTTGATCAATGTTTTGAAAAAATAATTCTTAAATTTTTATTTTTTTTCATTTTGTTTTCGAAACGGGTCGAAACGTTTCCAAAATATGTCGAAACGTTTCCGTTTTCTAGGTGACCAGAATAATGCACCGAAACGAAATTTTGATCCTTGGAGGTGACTAGCTAAACATTACAAAAGTACGCTGGCAAATGGTTATGTGGTTAACATGGCTGATCAAACCCAAACATTGCTATATATGGAAGACTAAACCTGAAAGACTGGATCTTCTGAACTATTCTCCAGATTTGTCCAACTTATGATCTCGGTATTCCCCTTCTAGGAATTGTTAAGCCTTGTCATATTCTTTAGACAACAATATATAAAATGTTTGGAATCAGGTTTAAGAGCAACCACATTTGGTGTTTAATGGCACATTAAAGGCAACTAGCCGGATGAGTTTAGGATTTCCAAGGGCTCAACTGTGTATCTCTTTAAGGGTCAAGCCTATCACATTTCTCTTTTTTCTGCTGTTAAACCTATACAAGCAATAACATGGAAATCCATGTCAGTCGCTTTTGAGGTGAAACCAACCCAACAAAAACATGCTTTAATAATGAAACGGCCAAGGACAAACAACACTGAAAACAAAACTGGAATGTGATAGGCTACTAATCAGAAATTCGCCATCATTACATTTTTAATGTAACCTACTAATCAGAAATCAAGGTAATACCCACTAGAAACATATGATGTGAAAAACAATTTTCAATCATCTCACATTAAATCAAAATCAAAACTACTAAGTCGTGTACCTTCCGGGGTTTTGAAGTCAAGGTCATGTCTTCAGCTTGAAGAGACTGAAGGAAAGCCATGATTGAACAGACAACTGGAGATAAAAGCAGCACTGCAAAACCAAATTCAAACTGCAAACAACATAATACCAAAATTTTTATGTCAGCATCCGTAAAGGAGTACATAACCAAAGTCAATATAATGTTCATATTAATTGGTGCCTAGGGCATCTTCTTTTTTTCTTTTTTTTTTTTAATAAGATTGATGCCTATTTTATCAAGGGGAAAAAGAAAGGGGGGGGGGGAATAAAAATAAGATTCAAGGGAAGAAAGCCCCTTTTTACCTGCTGGTGCATGGCATTTATAATTTTTATTGTTTTTGGGCGGAAAACAGCAACGACGATGGTTTCGATGATAAAGATAAAACTGAAGAGAACCCATGCTCTCTCTGGAGTACCCACTATGTGGTGCAATACAAATCTAAAAAATTGAAGCCACCTTTCTAGCCCTCGAAGCCTAAGTTCTTCTGATAGTGAAACTTGATTAGGCAATGCATTGCCAACGCTATTTGAGTCAGCGATAGTTATAGCAGTATCGTCGTGATGATCTGCGTCCAAGCTGCTCCTCTGCAGTAATGCAAGTATCGTTGGATCCAATCCATTCTCCTTCAACATAACAGCGAAATTAGGATCTAAGCCTTTATCTTTCAGTAAGCTAGTCAGTTCAAGATCCCCTTGTCTTCCTCTCCTCTTCAACAAAGATGTAATCCTTGGGTCATACATCTTCTCCTGGAATGCAAGAGCTAAATTCAAGTCTAGTGCTTGTTGATTTGCAGAAGTTGAAGCACTAGATTCACAACCTTGGCTTTCAAGCCCACTACTAGAACAGACTACCAAAGAGCCATTGTGGTCAAAATTTCTATCAGCATATGAAGTTCCTACTTCGGCTTCTTGAATTATTGAGCGACAGGAACTACTATGTAATGCTGTACTTGGCCTTCCACTATCTATGCTCTTGTCACTATTAATGCCCTCGACATTATTCCAGCTATTAGCATCACCAATGCAATGTGTTGTACCATTCCCAAGGTGACCAACCTCAGCACTACTACTTCGTTTCACACTTGAACCACAGACTTCAGAAGAGCTAGATGAACTGTTTTGCCCTTTTCTGCGGAAACCCTCTCTCAAGCGAATTACAGTACTCTGTAAGGCATCTCTCCTTGCAGCTAGTGGATTCGAAACTGATAAATGGCGGGAAACAGCAGCACCTAACAGAACAGATGCTACGACTGCATAACTAATGCAATGTCCCAAATACCTGTAAAGACAAAAGCATGCAAGGATTAACAAATTAATCATTTATTATTTGAGGAGGAGGAGGAAAGTAGCACATCGGTTCACAAGGCGCGGAACAAACCAGTAGTGAACTCCAAAGCAAATGAGGAAGACTCGAGACATGCCAGCAACAAAAAGTGCAGCAACACGACTTCTAAGAAGCTTAAACCCATATAAGCAGGCCCCCATGTTCCAATCTAAATGGACAAATTAACGTGATAATCGCCGCGATATTTGTAAAATCACCATAGATGGCTGTGCAAAAAAACAAATAAATACGCAAGTGTTAATGACATACCAAGAATAATTACAGCAGCTGATGTGATAGCACCGAGCCAATGTGCATCCTTCGCTGTCACACCATACAAGACGGAATACACAATAAGTACCCCAAGGGAGCCAAGATAGAGGAGCCCTAGATGTGAAGCCCTGCAGGAACAAAATTAGATCACAATGCTACAGATGATGAAGCTAAGTTCTAGACTATAAGGGAAGTACAACATATAAACAGAAAGAATAAATGCATGGCAATTCCTAAAGCAAGCTTAAAAGCATCCAATCTCCAACACAACTTTTCCACTTCATATTTGGATGTATATATTTTATAAAAACATAAATATATGCATATACTAGCAGCAACCCCAACCAATGCACAGAGTTTATAACCCTCCCGAATTCTTATAAATTTTTCTACCCATCACTTGGGATATTGATAAGAAGTACAGGAAATTAGGGTAATACAAATAATTTTTTTCAAGAAAAATTAAATAAGTGGTAGTTAATTTGTGGGGTGAAGGGTGGTTACATCACATGTAACATGAGTTGGAATGTGATAGGATAAAACTTGTGTTGTACTTAATTAAATAAAAATTCTAAGAAAAAAGAAAGAGAGTGAAGGCTTCCCAAGCCCTCTCTCCCCTAAATTGATTGAAATAATTCACATTATAGATTTTAAGGGAGAAAGAAGAAAGCACACACAAAATCCGTCACGGCACACCAAATCCTCGTTAGAGGTGACTTCAAACCAAAAGTAATCATGCAACAAAGGAACAAGCATTCCACTCCAGTGCATGAAACAAGAAGGGCTTGCCTTCTAGATTGTCGAGGATATAACTCATTGGGATCTGGCGGTTCCGGTAAGCAGGCCACAGGACCCACTTCAATACAATCCGAATATGCAAATTTGTAGGCCTTCCGCACATATTCATCTACATCTAAGCCATTCCCTGTTCACCATGAATTTCCAAAGCAGAGAATAAGAAGAGGATAACAAGAAGACAACAATATCCTATTAAAGCAACTACAATAACTGGCACCAACAAGACTGCCTGTGGAATGTAAGCTATTTATCAGTAGCAATCATATCTCCCTAATTCTTTGACAAGTAGAGATTCGCATTTGCCTCCCTTTGATCGTGCTTTAAGAAAGGAATAGAAATAAAAGCAGAAAAACTGCAATTACCATTGAAGACCATTCTGCAAATAAAGAGCATATTAATTGCCAGAGCAATTGCTGACACGCCAAAGAAAAAGCCTGAAGGTGAATAACGCTCTGAGGCACTTGCACCAGCTGTGACATAGACAGCACAGAGTTCATATGCACAAAGCAAGGCAACAGCCAGAAGAAGAAGAACAGCAACAGCCCCTGTGCAAGAAATGATGCAATGAATAAATATTGGAATGAAGAAAAGGAAGGGACGTTCAATTAGTAAAAAAGCCCAAGCTGACTTTCAGTACAAGTGTGCAGACTATATTACAATCCCAGCCTTTGCCGAATAACCAACAGAACTTGTACAACAACTACGAGCCCATTTTGAACTGTTCAAAGAAAAACTTATTTTCATTTTCAAATAACTCAAATTCCACATTAGTTCATTCATTTTTTTCGTCACCTTGGTGGGTGTCACAGGTGTCAATTTCACCCGCGAATTTTCGTCACTGTGATGGCACCAAATCTATGCTTAGTCTCAGTCATCCCATTCAAGAAGTTCTCTCAGACATTTTATCAAACACAAAACAGGAAACACATAGATCACTGAACAGTGTCCCAACCTGTACTTCTCAACAAGTACAAGGAGTCTGATCAAGGTTACTACTTACAAAACGTGCACCCTTTCCCATTTGCCCTAGGATCCTACTTATAGTCTACACTGGCAGTGACAACCTAACTGCCTAGGCAATGCTGGCACCAACCAGTCTTGGCCAACTAGGCCAGTTGACATCCCCCACTGCTAGGAAATGTTGTCACAATTCAGAACATATCACACGTCTGTGATGGTTATCCAACAAACCACCAGGCTTTCTTATCCAATAAACTGCAATCCAAATATGCCCAGAGCAGTTGTGGCCTGATAACCACATGAAACTGTCACTAGCTGCTTTGTCTGGTCATACTAGTGCCCACTTGTGTGCCCAGAATGTTGCCTCCGTTTGTGCAACGTGCAAGCCGTGCCCAAGCCCATGACTTGGTCTTCAAAACATAAAAATATTTATGACACTGCCACTGTCACATCTGCCTTAGCATTTCTGAATGACCAGCTTACCAATTGGTCCCTCGGCTAGGCCAATGTGCACGGTCCAACAACCGGATTTGCCAATCACCAACCAAAGTGTCTCAAACCACTTAAACACCAACGCATCCAAGAATTTAAGAAGTCGTCACGCTCATTTGGGTTGCTTAGCCAAGCACACCCGTCCCTTGGACTTGGCATGGAGCGCCATTAGGCAAGCCACCCACATGGCTTGGCCATGCCAACTCTAAGGGGCTAACAGTGGGTGTATAATAGTATAAATGAAGTGGTGCTGGTGCTAGTTCAGGCGGGTGGGGGTAGTTCAGGCAGGTTCAATGGTGGAGCAAAGTCATTGGGTTAAAAAATGTTTTCCAAGGATAAAATACGTATCCTCAATCATAACCTAACAAAGGATACCTTGTGAAGTACAGCCACAAACCACAAGGGAGTGCAGTGCAACTTTCTGAAACCATGAGGACACCCCCTTGAAATTAAAAATCTATAAGTGTGTTACTTTAGTTTTCTCCTAAATTCATTTAATAAGAAAAAGTCAACGTATCGCTTTGTTATGAGCCCAGGTTTTAAAAACCATATTATGATATCCAAAACTAGAGAAACATGTGTACAGGCCTCATTCAAACTATTATGTTTCAACTACTGAAATCCTATCTTGTGAAGGTATCAATGGGCATTGGGCTTAGAGAAAGTGAATTATATGCAATGGGTACCTAACACAATTTCTGCTCTCCGATGCTCTGGTTACTAGTCCTTTTGCATCATCACCTCATCGGCTAAAATTAGAAGACTTAAGCAAGGCCCGTCGGACTGCTTGGGGTGGGTTTGCCAAGTCTTTTAAACCCATTTCGTAGACTTCAAAACTTCTATTTACATTTTTATCTACATCGTGGAGTGCTAGATGGTTGCTTTTGACTTATATAACATTATGTGCCTTTAATTTAGAAATTATAGGCACATAATGTTATATAAGTCAAAAGCTACCAAGTGCATTTAGGTGTCATTTCAAATTATTTCCAAGTACGAAAATGCAATTATAACAAAAACTTACTTTATTTACTTTTGTGGAAAGAAAAAAAGACGGATCAGTGCATTAGACTTATGCCACTGCAAGGCTTAGGAGGGTTCAAATGTACATCCTTACCTTGCATGTGAAGAGGTTGGTTCCACAACTCGAACACTTGTAACTCATTGTTTAAATAGATCGATTTTGTTGAAAAATGCAGAATATGACAATAAATCCAGCTTACTAAATGTGAAATATTTAATTACTCGAATGTATCAATAGAATCATTTGATTCTTTCAACTAATGATTCGAAACAAAATCAATTTTTTGGGCACAATTAGAATTTGTATTCTCAAATGATATCAAAGGGATTTGCCGTCATTGTGGAAATTCTATTTTCTCTACGATTAATATTTTTCTCTCTTGTGAAAAGCTACAATGCAATATCTGTATTCGATACATAGCAGCTACGGATATGCGTCCGATATGGCGGAAAATTATCGGATATGTACCATACATATCCAATAATTCATAAAATAAATTTTGATTTTAGATACGCTTGCGATATGCATGGGATACACGTAGGATATATCTATGGATACAGCTAGGGTTTACGTGTAATTTTTTAATTTCAAAAACAAGAGTAAATGAGCAAAATAATATGGGTATTTATGTAAATTACAAATCACTGGGGCGTTACCAGCAAAAACAAAAAAATCAACGCAATAAAATGACATCCAAAAACTCGATCAGACCAAACCACCCCTCTCTCTCCTCTCTGTTACTGCTCATATCAACAACTAGGGTTCCTATCAGAGTAGACAAAATGTGTGTTCTCTCTCCCTCCCTCTCTCTCATCTGCTCTGTTACTGTTGATGTCTACGATTAGGCTTGAAGGTCAATTGACTTTCATACGAAATGGAAAAAATAAAATCCGACCTAAACCTCCTCCCTCTATCTCTCTCTCAGCCTTTGATTCCCTTTTCTTACTATTCACATTGGTGATTAGAGTTCAATATACTTGAAGTTTTGTTATTATGGTTTAATATACCCACCTGACTTGCAATTCGTCAATACTCACTAGAGATCACTGCTGGATGCGATTGCAGGTCATCAACCATCGCCTTCACTTCGCCATGCCTACAATCTCCATTACTGATACTGATCTACCGATTTGCTGCTTTTTCTTTTTTTTTTTTTTTGGATCGAAATATTGCATTTTGCTTTTTTACTTATTTCACTTTTCGCCAAATGACTTACTTTGTTTCTGTTGTTGCTGTGTTGAGCCCAAATTGCCATGTTGTTGCTGTGATTGTTGACACTGTTGCTTTTTCCTGTTATGGCTGTGTTGCTTTGTTCCGGTTGTGGCTGTGTTGCTTTGCTGCTAAATAGTGTTACTGTTTTGTTGCCTTTCTGTGAAATTGTAGTTGGGTTCTGTAAGAATGGATTTACTTTGCCCTCATTTTGCTGAAAACTATAGAATTAACATTTGTTTTATAATTTTGATAATTATAGGAATTAGAAAAATTAGAAAAAAAATTCTATCATAGTCGTATTCTCGCCGTACCCGTATCTTTTTTTTTCTTAGGTTTTTTCGTATCGTCATATCCGTATTGGTGCTTCATAGGAGAAACGATATAAACACAATAATTCTTGACTGTACAAGGGTTAAGAGAAACACAACTTGCATCTATTATCCCATCACCACATCTTTCTTCTTCCCCTCTTCCTTTATTCCTTTTTTTCCCCTCATCCACAAACCTTACAAGCCATTCCTCTTATTTCCCTTTCATATTAGGGCAATCCCAAGATTCCCAACAAGAGCAAGGTCACCACTGAAGAAAAAGTAGGCATTCAAACAACTCACATGGATAATGGCAACAAAAAACATAACAGATCTTGAAAGTAAGGGCAGATCGCCCTACTAACTTTAGAAAATCTTATGTATCTTAATCTTGTTCCACCATCTGTTCCATTAAAACTTCTTGTCCCCATAGTTCACATTTTAACCAATGAATTTTTCCTCTGATTACATGATTTCATTTTTCGTATTATGGAAAAATAAGACATCTAAAAGCTGAAAACTCACAGGTTGCTCCTACGTTTATAGGCAAACTTCACTTTAACCCCCTCGTGGTTAGGCCCTTATGCACAATACTCCCCCTCACATTTAAAAATAGGCACATAACCATCAGGTGATCTGTAGACTAAAACACTAATAACACTCCTAAGATGTCTTTAATACCCTTTCCTCCATATCCTCTTCTTCACTACATACACCAACAATGTTGCAACCCTTACCAGCTGCACCCCATATTCACCACCACCACTGCCCACCCCTCTATCTGCAATCAACCACTGCTGCCACGCCCACCAGCTGCAACCCACATACACCAGCACAACTGCCAGACCCTCTGCAACACTCCACCACTGCAACTCCCCCAGATCTATTACTAATCACTAATCTTCCACTCCATTCCAACCACAGCAACCCATCACTCCCGCCATCATTACAAATTCGACAATCGATGAATTGAATTACACTTAGCTCAAACATCATTCAATAATAGAAGTACAAAATTTGGATTGGAGAGAGCCGAAGGAGTCCCTTGGTTTAGATGTCAAATTGCTGATCAAATTGAATTATGCGATGAGCAAGGATCAAAATATCATTTCAAAACGTTCAAAACATCCAAAACGTTTTCGTTTCTAAGGAGACTGAAATGATTCAATGATGGAATTGAAATTTTAATTCTTCGAGGTGTTCCATAATGTTTCAAAATGTTTTGTTATATTTCAATGCATTTGCACAATAATTTTAGAATATTTCAAAATATTTTGGTATATTTCAATCAATGTTTTGAAAACATAATACTTAATTTTTTTTTTTCATTCTATTTTTGAAACGGGTCGAAACATTTCCGTTTCCTAAGTGACCGAAACAATCCAACAAAACGAAATTTTAATCCTTAGCGATAAGGAATCAGAGAATCAAAGGATTTCAATACCCATAATAAATTGTTAATGTAGCTTTTTTGGGGTATTTTTTCCAGCAAAGTTGGGGCTCTGCTAGTGCCAACCCATTGTAGTGGATATTAGCATTCCCCAGGTACATGTATATGCATTCATTATATGTATACTTGGGTTTATCATGCTTGAATCTTGATTGAACCACATCGCTTAAGGCAGCCCATGCATTATGGACAATGGACATTAGAACAAATGGGTTAGACAGAGTAAAAAAATAAGGTGGAAATTATAATGTCACATTCTCTAAGAACTCGGATAAGTCGTACTGGTGAGGTGATGAATGCAAAAAAGTAAAATGTTTGCAGTTAAATAAAGACCAGTAATGAAACTCATTACTCAAATGAATTAAATCTTACGCTATTACATGCATGTGTCGAAGAAACAAAAAGTAAAAATTACTCTTAAATAGAAGTAGGACGCTATTAATCAATTTCTCTAAGACAAATATTCTAGAGCTTTGTTTCCCTGGTTGAGCGTAGAAGGATCAAGGGTAAATATCACAATTACTCCTTAATGGTCCATGAACTGTCAATCTATTAATTTCGTGTCAGTAAAATCTTTATGTCCATTTCACTTGTTAGAACAAATAGAGGCAAGCCAAGTGTTGTCGTGGTCGTCCACATCATGTGCCTCCATTTTTTTTAAAGGGTAAAATAGATAGAAAGACTTTCTTGAGACTTGACCAATAGTTGAGGGACTAAATTCAGACAATTGAAAGTTCAAGGACCATTTTAAAACAAGAGGCAAAGTCTACAAACTAATCATGATATTTACCCAACAAGGATCAATGTATCAAAATATGCGAAAAAACTTGAGGAAATACGTACTTGAGCTTTGCCATTGTGTTCTCCACCAAAGCATGATGGAATAGAATGCCAAAAGAAGAGCAATGCCAGCCATTATTACAGCCAGACCAATTATATCTCGACCCAATATTAAGATCAACCAGCATCCCCATATCACAAACACCACAAGTGGAGAAATAACAATCATCCATGCTGATATAGACAGGAAACCACATAATAATCCCAGCTGAGGTCCTTGAAAGAAATCTGGCCATTTTCTAGCAAAGATCCAACTGAAAAAGCAAGCAGGCAGAGAACAACCAAATAATCAAAAGGGAATAATCAGATTACCATCTTTGACATTACTAGCTCATTACAGAGGACATAAGGACAAGTGATATTCCTATTTTGAAGAAAAAACAATATGAATTACATTTTTGTCGTGGATGAAAATTTACAAGGTGGCCAGTTATCAGGCTAATACTGCATTCACCAGAACCGAAACATTAAAAGAAAATGAAGAAGAGAAAGGAAGGTAAATCAGGTGCAGCAGCAATAAACTGGATATTACAACCCTCCTTTCTGAAGCCAGATGACATCACAATCAAATGCAGATCTTAAAGTATAACATTATTCTGCACATAAGGGAAGAAATGAAATAATAATACAGGATATAAAGCACTTAATCATGACCCTCACCTATACATTATTAATCAGCCAAATAAATGAAATAAACTATTGACCAATTCACAACTTAATAGACAAAAACAAATATAAGAAAAAATTATATGCACTACTAATCAACAACATGAGACAGCAGAGCCAACATTTGCTCCTATTCCAAAAGAATAGAGAAAGGAGCACTCATTTAAAGTCCATAATTAATTAAATATACACAAAGACGCTGAAATAAAGCATACCCAGTACACACGACTCCCGCCATTGTGGAGTTTGAGAAGGGTTAGATGTATGCAGTCTTACCCCTGTAAGGAGAGAGACTATTTCTGTGACTCGAACCCGTGGCCTACAGGTCACAATAGGACAACCTTACCGTTGTGAACACCTGCCCTCAAACACCAACATATCAAACAGATTTTAAAAAAAAAAAACTCAAAGAAGTTATACAGAATTATGAGACAAGGGTTGTGAAGGGGGAAAAAGACACAAACCACCCCTTGAGTGTCTTTATTGGGGTCAGTACATTGACAAAGGACAAGTGCAATTTTGTAATTTATACTACAAGGGTAAAAACGAGATATAGTAAAAATTTGAACTTCTTTTTGGAACTAATTACAAAAAGTAATACTTGATTGTTCAAATATAAAATTGATAGGACTGAATTAATTTTTGGAACAAAAAGAAGACTCATGGTGTTTTTCCTTTTAATATTTGGATAGAGGTATTCAATATACTCAAGTTAGGGTTAGGCAAAAAAAAAAAAAAAATCAACCTAATTTTAATTGAGATAGAACTTTGGTTAGGGTCTCTAGTTCGAATTGAACCCGATTTCTTCTCTAAAACAATGTATATATGAGCAGTGATCAGAATAGGTCCAAATGTCAATCTCACATCATGTCGACACCTTTCTCGCCCACCTATCTTTTGTCTTTGTTTGTCTCTCTACATAAACCCCATGCAATTCTCAAGTGGTGTTATATTTCTTAAATCGAAGAGGTTACTGCGACTAGTGAAGATGATCGTAAAGTTTAATCAAACGTTAGAGAAGGAACTTTTAGAGATAGAGAATAAAAATACTAAGCCTATCCCATCCCATGAACCTTTTCCAACTATGAGTTTCAAATGCTTTGTCTTCTACTAGATCCTAATTTTTAATTAAGAAAAGAAATAATAGATTGCAACCAAACCCTGAAGATGAATTGAGTGCTAATGGTGGGCACATCACTTACATTTGGCAAGAAAATATGCGTCTAAAAGTCTCTACCTCCGATCAGCTTCATACATATGAGTTTTACTTATTCGACCTTTTGTAAACAATTATTAATCACCAATGTGTGAACCTGTTAATTAGATATAAGACTGATTCTGTTGTTCAAGATATACCTTATGGCTATGGAAAGTACCTTATGTACATTACATATAGGCTATATATTCTAGATTCTAGAACTTGATTTATTGGGAAGAGGAGTAGGAGGCTAATTTCCTCTCTACTAAATGTCTTGTTAATTTGATTAGTTCGAATGTGCACCCCAATTGTGTAACTCAACTTCAACCGGTTTCAAAATTTTAAATATGAACAGTACTCTGATTGAAAAGTTCAGGTCAAAGGTTGGGTTCCGCTTTAGCGTTTATAATTTGGGTTGTAGAAGACCTCTCAACCCACTGGAGTTTTCACCCCTACCCTGGTCAAGAGGATTGAATGGTAACTAATGGTCTAACATACCAATAAAGCTTGAAAAAATAACATAAGAGGACTATCTCCCTAGGTGCAATCCATGTGGTGATCCACCACCAAAGGTTCTTACTCAAATTTACACAAGGTAGCATTTTTTCCCTTTTGTTCATTGAAGAGAGGGGTCATTCTTGTGCACAATGTCTAGCTTTAGTAATTATCACATATATACGGAGTGATCACAGCGTTCAAGAAAAATAAGCTTTCATCGAAAATAAACTTTGAATAGAAATGGCCATTACATTTTGTGGCCAATTCATAGGGGATTAGTCATCCCCAAAGTAACATATGCAGCAAGGACAATGAAATTTATACAATTCTTGCTAAAAATGTGTTCGAGTGACAAGGAATCATCTGAAAACACATTAAAGCCCCCAAAAAGCATGTAGATAGGTCACAAACAATTTTTTACTTTTCCAGTGCCGGTTGTCCTTTTAATTCTTTCCCAACACATTTCCCCATGTTATCCTTCAAGAATCTTTCATTATCTAAAATTTCAATGGCATTCCATACAAATTTATATATCTTCCTCAAAGATGCTAATTTGACATTAAATCCTTTTCGTGACTTAACAGATGTATTGCCCAAGTTCCCCACTAAGTTTCCAAAATAATTAAGCATTGAATTTTTTTTGAGCAGCAGAATACATCTATTAATAATAAAACTTTTGTGAAAAAAAAGAGGATAATTAGGCATTGACTCCAAAAACATTTTTACACATTTCCTATACATTTTGAAGATTGCGTTCCTCCAATCCTTTTACAATGTCATTTCCTTTTCCTATACTATCCTGAGATGACTATTTCCCATGCCAATTTAAACAATAGAGCAGCATGGAAGAAAAAAGAACAAAAAACTATGTATCATTGCAAATTAGTCAATGCAGTGTATCTTTCATAGAACATTTGAACAACTACCCGTAATTGCAATAATTGGAACAACTAGGTGTTCTTCAACTACAAACAACACAGCTGCATCATCAAAATAAGATAAACTGGAAAAGATAATAAGAATCACCTATAAATCCTCCATGGCCGCCAATTCACTGCCCAGAGTATAGCAAAAGAAGCCGAACCAAAAACAAAGAACAGGGTCCCCGAAATTACACATGCCAATATAAAATCATGCTCGTCTCCTTCCATGGCTTCTTAGCCCCTTCTCTCTCTCAACTACACTACAACATCATTTCAATTAAACCCATTCCAAACAAATGATCAAATATATTTTTTCGTGGGTGAAAAACCCTAAGTAACATTAATCACAAAATTACCCCAATTTCGATTGTCACGATCACTGTTCACACCAAAGAAGAAGCACGAAATTGAAAGAGAAAGCACAAAAGTAGTAATTGTTGGTAAATATACAAATGGCCTTACCTACTTCACTGAACCGGTTCCGACTGCCCAGAACATGACAATGATTTATTAGGACAAAATTGAGTATGCATTCTCCATAGATTTCAGCTCCGAAACTAGGGTTTTCAGCTGATTGAAGAATCAAAATTGAGTGAAATTAGGGGTTTTCAGCATCAAAGAATTTAGAGAAAGGAAGAGAGCAATGGTTCTATCTATTTTGATGCGCTTCCGATTCTTTTTCACTTCAAGATAGAGGTTGAGAAAATTATTAAAACCCTACTCACTCCCACTGTCACAAGTAAAAAATGGGGAGCTCTTGAAATTAAGACGGGAGAGAGAGACGAAAGGTCAAGATGTGCGAGAGTAGATATAAATCTGTCGGACGTTAGTTGTTGTCAAATACTAAAATAATGGCAATATAGATCTGAGTGCCACGCTCCCATATTGCGCGTGGTTTTGTGGACCTATTACAACTCATTATTTTGTTTACGGTGAGGTCTGGTCGAAGATAATGGTATCGAATTCAAATAAAATTGAAAAAATTATAATTGAAATATATATTATTTCTTTAATGAGTGGATCTGGTCGAAGATAATGGTATCGAATTCAAATAAAATTCAAAAAATTATAATTGAAATATATATATATATTTTTTTAATGAGTGGATCCTATTAACTTGTTTAATGAGACTCACTCACCCAACACTCATCTAAGTGACAATATATATTTGGGTTTTAATTTTTGAGTTTTATTTAAGTTATGCAATATTTTTTTTGATCGAATACTTACCCAAAAAATTTTTAAAAAAAAGGTCTGGTCAACTCTCAAATATTTTTTTCCACCTATTTTAATTTTTTACTATTAAAGCATCCCCAAAAGACTAGTTAAATGACACAAAAAATTCAAAATTTAGTTATTGTGCCCTAACATTTCACTCTAATTGAACATCTTCAAATCATCTAAAATAGCATTTTACTATAGTAGAGTGTCACTGTAGCAATATATATAAATATTTTTATAATATTTTCTCTCTTCTTTCCTTTCCTCCATTCTCTCTCTCACTATTCCCAAAGAAAAATAATACACAATAGTTAAAAATATAGAAAATCTGTTAGAGTGTATATTGAAAAAGTGAGAAGTTAAAATAGAAAATGTTATTTTTTTGAGTAGCTAAACTAATTTTTATTGTTGGAGATGCTCTATTCCCACACTATTTGTACTTAGCTCAAGAATGACTTACTTCGCCCTATTTATATTTAAATCATTAATCTTAACTTTTAGTCAAAAAAAATTAATATCCATCTATAAATAAACATAATATTATCCATCAAAAATATTTATAATTAATATCAAACAAAACATAAAATAAAATAAAAAAAATATTATTTACAATGCACATTAAAATAATAAAATACAATACATGTACAATGTACATGAAACAACCTATATAAAAACTTCAATTGTCTTCCTTCACAATTACATCAATCCACTCTGCACGTGACCTATAATTTTACATTTACTCCTGCATAT